ACACCGACTGAATACTCGGGAAAAATACATGTTGAAAGGCTACTTGAAGGGCCAAATGTTTTGCCAACAAAGATGTCGAATTTTGGCAAAGATTGAACTTCACAGGATGGCGAAAAATATTGAATGATAGGCTTGAATTTACCCTTGAAACCGTAAGATAGACCAGTATCTAATTTCTCCTACATTATCACTCCTGAATCACACATTAAGGTCATGAGAATGAAGAAAATGGTCACCAGGGAAGGAACCTTTTGATTGGCAAACAAATTCTCCTTGTCAGCACCTTAAGAAATGTATAAAGAACAGTGAAGAGAAGGTGCATACAGGTTTTCCTTTTTTCCTGTTCGCTTGTGGAGCGAAACGCGCCGATGTGAATGCAGCTTCACATCAGGTCTGCCACATCCACATTTAGGAAAATGATGCGTCTATGCATCATTACTTTCTCAGCGAAAGAAGGCGGCAAAATTTTTGTTTAATTTTGTTTTAGAACTGTCAAAAGTGGAAAAATCATCTTCCGGTTCATGTTTGAACAATTGAAACGTGTCATGTGACGTTACGTCAATACAGCTTTAGACCTTCGACCATATTGTGCTATTTCATAAAAAATCAGCCATAGTGTTTGTGGGCTAGTTTCAATGCCAGTCCTTCCATTTTTATGTTGTATTTGATGGTTTGACAAGTATCTACTGGTTTATTAGAGTGAACCGACAAGAAAGTATATCTTGGATATTTGCCCGCAACAAGGAAAGGTAGGAATTACTTATATTCGATGTTAATCTGCTATTTTCTTTAAACACGAACTTCTCGTTTGTCGAATGCATTGTACGCAGGGCAAAGGCTGAAGTCCACGCACGGTATACCCCCTGTTATGTCGCCACGTTGTAGTATTTTTTTCGTGTTGATTAGAGTTAAGGTCTGATGGTTTGTAACATGTAATTAAGGTTTTTACATCCAAACATCAATTCCGTTTAATGCGCTAATTCATTCGAAGAAAGTGATTACAAGAATTAACAAAGAATTCAAGACTACTCAATTTTGGCTCGACAAAAAAGTTAGGGGCTATTTGTCTTTCATTGTAGCCTGTTCACAGGCTTACCTATGCTCTTTCGATTCTTGTGAATCCTCATCTTGAGCTGGAGCGAAATAACGTATACGGATATAAGAAGGTGAAGAGGAGAGATAAAGCGGTCTTTGGAATTCTTCGGAACGACTACTTTATTTAGGTTTGCTTAAAAGCATTCGGTGGAGTGTCCTAACTAGCCGCACATGTTGTTATTTGTACATTAGTGCAACATCAAAAGAAAAACGTTAATTACACCTTAAAACGTTCCTTCAACGGCGTGAGAGCCATCGAGTTAGGTATGTTGAGCGAAACAGTCCTAGAAAGCCTCAGATTACTAATGTTAAAGAATGTAACAAGGAGGATATTGCGGATGTTTTGTTTCGATTGTTTGGGTCTATTCTAGATCAACTTCTTGATGGATATTGAAATTTCTTGATAGATGATTGTAAGTTATTTCAATTTTAAGTGCTACGCCCTTTTCTAGTGCAGCGTGTGTGGGAGAATTTTTGATATTTATATTTTTAATAAATATTCTTACGGAGGGAAGCCTCCAAGCATACAGCACCCATCTCTGGTTAAACTCTTACGTAGAATGAAAGATTACAAGGAACAAGTCGGTTAGTTAGCCGATTAAGCCACGTGGGTATGTGAATTAGCAATTGCAATATTAAGGACTTAAAAGTATTCTCTCACGCCGTAGTGATATTGTGAGAGCACATGTCATTGTTGACTCATTGCAGGTGTTTTAAATCAAGCGTGACTAGAAAGTCACGAAAGCTCGAGTCTCGTGAGCACGTTGTGAATGCAAAGGAGCCTGGCATGATTGTTCACCACAAATACAGAACTAACAATGATGAGCTTTGTACACGATGTGCAGACGTCAGACCAAGCTTTCTGGTATGCTCGAGTCGAGCTTTCTTGATACGATTGAATGATGATGCCTTATCACGTACCAACTGGTCTCCTAGAAAGCCTCATGGCTGGTTGAAAAATATTTTCATTCTTGCTTGTCGGTTGTTTGATTTCCGCCCTAATAGTGCGGCCAGCTGTGGCGATAAAACGATAAGATCATTCTAAGGTAGAGATAAGAATAGAATTGTGTTTCGATTTGGTCAGGAAACGGCGTCTTTTGTAAGAGGGTAAATTGCAAAACAATTTTTTTTGCCAGTTGCATTTTGTGGCTAGTTCGGTTAAGTTTTGCCGGTTCTCTTTTGGTGTCAATTGATTTTAACACCTTGTCAACACCAGCTAAAGTCAGTGATTAATAACCACCTGGTTATTTTATCGTGGACAAAGATGCATTTCCTGTGAGAGCCCAAAGGCGATGTAAATACTGTATAGACGATAACGGGTGCGAAGGCGCTAAAAAAAAAGGATGCTTCTATACTACTTTCTCATGCTGCATATTCTCGTCTACACAGAGCGCAGTAGAGACAGTTTATGTTGTTACAAACGTTGGTGGGAGAGATTTTTAAAATTGACCTCGTGATGACGGTGTTGATGGTGGAAGAGGATAGTGAAGGCAAAAGGGTTAATCTTGTCACTTTACAGGTTTAATCTTGTCACAAGGCCGTTCAATTTAAGGTATTAAGTTATGAATAAAACAAAAACGTTACGTTACGCCAATCCTCTTCTCAGAACGAAGTTCGATTAGGTAACTCGTTGGCTACTTCTTCACGTGGTGTCATTGAATGAATATATCTCTTGGTTTGCTTGAAAGGAGTTACCGACTGGGACCTCTTAACCCCATTTGATAGTCGGAATGAAATTTTTTTTGATGACCTCCTACAAATGAAGCAACATCTAGAAGTGAACACTGAAATTGTTACTTGAAATGTTAAAGCTACATGTAGGTCAGAGAGTAACGTACATTTTATGGATCAATATCAATATCCGGGCAACTGCCCACCTACCCCTCCCCTAACTCAACAACAGTCAATTGACGACAAGTTAAGGTTAATGTTGGGTTAGGAGAGGGGTAGGTTGGCAGTTGCCCAGATACTGATATTGATCCCATTTCATTTCTTACCCTCTTTAGCATATGAGCGCTCCCCTTTCCCCCCCCCCCCGTCCATCTTTTGCCCTCTTTCCTCTTGGGTTTTGTTTCAGTGGGAATTTGTGATATGCTATCTAGTTATTTACATAATTAGGGCATTTATATGTGCATGAAGTTCACCGTTGGATACAACCGAGCAAGATAACAAGCTGGTGAACTCATGTGCGTCGTCTTGTATTGTGGTAACGGTGACCGGTGGTTGTCCAAGGGAACTGTAAATTAGAAGTCGGCAAGTATCAGTCAAATGTATATATTTATAAGGCATATAGTCGTGATTAGTCTTTACTCGATGAATTAGCCTTGAAAGTTTATAAATGCGTGAGCCTCAATATCCATCTAGTCATTCCTTTCAGAATAACACAAGAATAGTAGATGTGAATAGTCGCTCGGTTTCCTACAAAAATTAGTTTTAATTTATATTTAGAATTAAGGCATTATCGCCACCGTGGTGGTGTTGTACCACTGTTTCCTGTAGGAAATTAATAGCATTTTTGTGCGGTGATGTGTAACGCAAACAAGCATTTTAATGCAATAACTTGAAGATCCTTTTCTTGTACATTTTGCCGAGTCAGAAAGTATTGGTATCTGCTTTGTTTTCCGTGATTTAGGGAATGCGATGATATCACAACCCTTTCAACAGGTTCGATACAACACACGCAAAAAAAGAAAGCTGTTCACCTTTTCTGCACTCTTATATGTTTTTGAATTGAGAAACACTTGTGCTAAGATAGTAAATAAAGATTTTTTTTCGCTCTCAGTTTTACACTCACTAACCGGGTGTACGTTAAAGAATACTCTTAGTCATTAGAACGCTCGTGCAGATAGCTGAAACATGTTTGATTTGATACGTTGACCCCAAGGGATGTGATTTTGAATTCTTTCTCACTCTGTGGATTATTAACAAATGGAGGCATTTGGTTTTCTTCAAACGACACATCAGCTTGTTTCAAAATCTTCTCGGTTTGGAAAAATTGCGGAAAGAAGAAATTAATTCAATTTCCTTGATCTGCGAGTGTGCAGGGATATGACAGAGTAAAATCTTTCCCTGTAGATAAGTTGTGATTTTTTCCCTTTGACAACGTCGAATTAAACGGCTTTCGCGTTATATCGCATCGTAAACAACGGACGTCCACTTGATTACAGAAAAAAGTATTAAAATTGGTTGGTTTTCCAGATTTAATATGTTACTTTCAGCGGAAACTATACGATCTTTCAGTGGGGCAACCGCTGGGGCTGAAAAGCGCCAAAGACAACAATAGAATCTCACGAAGATCATGTAACTAATCAAATGCTTCGCTTAGAAATGCGTTTAACACACCAAGATTACTTCCATGCACAAAATTGTGGCTAATGTGTCCAAAGTGATGATGGAAAGGGAGTTATTAACTTTTTAAATGACATTGTACATAAACTAGGCTGATTCTGGTTCGGCATTGTACCCAGTGTAACAAGCTTGTTGTTCTTTTGATCATTTGCTGTGGCAGACCAGATTTTAGGGGTGCGATGGGATCTTTCTTTGTTGTTGTGTTTTCTCTCTTTCCCGCGATGGGAAGCGGGTCGGTATTGGGTGGTTCTACCTGGTTGACACAGCACACGCCCCCAGGAGCACCCAAATGTGTAAGTGTCTCGGGCATAAAACACGGCATGACATGAAGAAACGTTCATTTTCCATTGGCAAGTTTGTCAGTTTGCTCTACAAGTGATCCCAGGCGTTTAAATCCTCCATCACATTACAATATCGACCTTGCTTGATGCATAATTCCCCTTTAGTGCTGTGTTATTATAATTGTAAAGGTTTCATTGGGTTAAATTTAGGAGATCACTCTCAGTGAAGGGGGAGGATGCTTTGATTAACATGACCATCAGGGCACTTATTTTTTCCAGATGGCATCACCATATTTTATTTAATACTTAATTTCAATAGTTTTTTAAACAAATTTTGGATTATCCTTACGTTACATGCTTCTGCAAATAATGCAGCTCCAAGGAAGCACGCTCTCGAGTAAGACAAAAATATCCTCAGAAATTATCTAATAATTACAAAATGGACCTTCGCCATCATTATTTATATAGGAAATGTAGCTCTATATGAAAGAGAACAATTTTACAAAAATTAAGGTCAATTTTCAACAAATGATATGTATATTCTTTTTTCCGTAGACAAAATAAGTTTGAGGTTTTTCAAAGCGTCACAACTAGCTATCTTTTCATAGAAAAGGTGTTGTTGGTTCTCAGCCTTTTAAAATGGACCTATGGTCATTTTTAAATGTAGCTTAAAATCTACATATGACGGCTCCTAGAAATTTTAACTGAGTATGGAAGCTCTGAATCACTTACTACCAAAACGGCTACGATAGCTAACAACTTGATTATATTTGAAACAAGCCACCTTTAAAGACAAATTTCTACTCGACTCAGGTATATCAAACGAGATACAAATGTTGGTGTGAAACTAGGCCGTAGCTTACAGTAAAAATATCATTTATACTCCGAATATTTACACTTCCTAGCATAACGTTTAAAAACTTAAGAATAATTTATGTATCTATATATAAGTACGGCAGACTTTTAGAATATGAAAATACGAATAATATATTCTGTGACAGCCAGCAAGTCAAAGGCATGTTCTCTGTCAACTGAATAGATTTCTAGTTTTGTGAATTCTTCCTTTCGACCGATGATATGTGACAAATGATACTGGGAAATTTTTCCCCAATTTGAGGGCCTCCCAAGAGTAAAATGCTGAAGTTAAAGTCGTGCCTTTGTAAACCTGGCTAGGGGGGAAGAGTCAAGGGTAAGAGGCGGAGGGGGGTTGTGGGATACTGAGATAATCAAGTTTTCCCACTCGAGATGGCTATAGACCTTAAATTTCTGAGGAAATTAATTCTAACATAATACCTAAAATTACCTCGAGATGTTGAATTGTGTCTGTATGACAAATTCCAACAGTTCGGTAAAGAAGAGATAGTTTAAACCTGTATTATGATATAAATATACGTACATCCGAGTTTAAAAGATCTCTTTTACCCGAATACATAAATGGCTTTGCAGAGTCTGCCCCACGAAATGGTTTGAGGTAGTGAAAGTGAAGTGATCTGCTTGTGGCAAAGAAGTTAGTCTAGAGTAAGGTTTATGTCATAAACCTTTAGGACATCTGAATTCTTCAAAAAGAAACTGTGGTGTTCTTTTTTAGGTCTTGTGGAGTTCTTTTACAATTCCTGTGGAGAAAACAAGAACCTTCTTTTGATACGTGAAAGTAGATGGTTGTCTTCATCATCCTAGTAAACTTTTTTTAGCTCCACGTTTCATTCCCTTATTTTAAGACTGATGAAGCTCTCACTGGAAAATAAAGTCTGCTTGCCTTATGAATATAAAATATGACAACTATTATTTATAAAAAATGTGAAATTGTTCTTTTAACCAGCAGGTATTGACTTATCTCTTTGATATGTGCTCGTCATTGTCACTCCTGTCATTATAACAGTGGAGGTCAATTCTTCTGGTAAGAGGTGTTCAAAGAAGGTGCAGCAGAAATCTAGATTAGTTATGTTTTCCCATTTATTGTTGATAGTACTGCAGCATTCAGTTTCATTGGCACTGGTGAAAATCTCAAAGAAAGCTGTGTGTTCATGCATTTTATCATGAAAAACGGACATACCTGATGTGTGTAGGACGAGCTAAACTCTTGAAGTAGGCTTTCCTCATTATTTCTGTGGGTATAAAGATATGGTGGAAAAGAGTTGTTGAATTGCAAATACCGTGATGGTCAAAAACTCATCCTGAGTTAAGGCTCACAGAACGAACTTTACATTCTTTGCCTATGTGCTAGAATTCAATAAACCATAGGAAAGACCCTTGCCAAGAAAGGAAATGATGCTTTATCAAGATGAACTTTTGAGACAACTTTCAATCAACATGTGTGCTTATTTGAAATTGCTTTTGACTAAAATGTCTCGCTGTGATGCTAGTCTCTTGAGAAGAACAACTTTATGGGTAAGAAGTATATTAGCTGTTCAGTGCTGTCGTTATGGAATCGCCCCACCCGATACCCCCAAACCAACTTTTTGACGGAGTGATTCTTCCCATATAGAAAAGCTGACGGACATGGCATTTTCCTAACTGCAAATCTTCCAGAAATTCTTATTACAAATGATGAGAGCCATTTGAGCGTTGGGACGGAGTTATCCGATTAGCACTGAAGGGAGCGGCGAGTAAATTTCTTTTTGAAAGAAGCCCCTAGTATATCTAGTTTTAGGCAGCCACTTGAGTGCTCCTTGTTGATTGTGAACAACAACGTAGCAACCTACATTCGCACTATCTTGGATAATATCGGGAGTATGATTATGTCCTTGCGCAAATTCTTGATAAATGAGCTTACATTAATAATAGTTGTGTGTAATTTTCATTGACATTGTAGTTGACAAGGCAAGAGCCATTGTAATACAATGCAATCAGATCTGCTTGCTCTTCTGCTTGTCTATCATTTTAGCTGTTTTAACGATTTAGGCGTGGATAAATTTACTTTTTGCATTTGCCAACTAAAGCAGAAGACATGAATGAGAGTTGATGGCAAGGTTTTTCCATAGCTACTTGTATAGCTGAGCATGACAACTGGAGGGCAAAGGAATTAGTAATGACAGGGCTGCATCCTCAGCCCTTAAACCTACCACCTTGAGATACCTAAAGGAGATGTGTTCGGGAAGGTCACAAAATTAGAAAGGTGGCAGCTAAGTTCCAAGCACATTATCATGTTTTCTTCTTAAAACCACTTTGTCCCCGTTGATAGCCACTGCGGATGGTATTGGTTTGAATAAAAAATAAACAAGGCTTCCCACTCTTACAATGCGAGTCTTCAGAGCAGAAAGTTATCTATCCTCAACCACAAGTTTCAAGTCAGTTTCAACCAGTAAATCTGGCCTGTATTTGTGTAGTCGTAAAGCTCTCGCTAAATTATATGTAAGGCTGCTTGGGAGACCCTCAGTGGATCAAGTAAGCATTAAATGTTATCACAATTAAGGTATCACCAGGCTTGGTGTTGCTTAGTGACCCAAATTCTTCACCCAGATCTTTTGGGGCCTGACTGTGTGGGCAATATTTGCCTCTAGTCCTGCCTAGTGTTACTTACCTTCCCATTCCACAATCACAGTTCCTCAAGGGCGATCTGAATTCTCAAACAATGTTATCAAATGCAGGCTTTCTTAGGGATGGTAATTATCAAAAACTCCAGAGGGCTTATGATGGTCTGAGGTGTGGAAGTTTTCAGCCACAAGGAACATTTTTATAGCAGATGAAGGCTCCCACATGCAAGATGCGGTTGATATTGTCGATATAACATTATTCTAAGAAGAATCTTATCTTCTCAGTCAATGATAAAGAGACTCAATAAATTACCTTGAATGGTCCAAGACCTGTGTGTCATATTCAGCCATTTCGTTCTTTAAGAAGGATAACAACTTCTCGACTTGTTGCTGGAAGGTATCACTCTCATCCCCTTTGTTTGGCTACAGGTAATATAAATTGAATGGTTCAAGATCAGCTTTTGAATTTATTTGATCGTGATTCCTTTTTAGACAACGGTTGTTAATTAATTGTAGCATCAGCCGTCTGCATCATGAGACTTACGTAGTTGTATTAATTTGACAGTGTATTGTTGGTAAATAGACTACTGTTTTGAGGATTTATTCAGTTCTGCCTATTAGTGTGTCACTAATGAAGCAGCAACAGATATTCATGTATGGGGAAAAATTTAAGTTGATCTGTTCCTGGTACGTATACATTGTGTATAATATTTGATTGTTCTTACCAAAACAAATGGTTTCCATTCGTCTTGATGATGCAAACTGATTGAAAATAAAAAGTCAAACAGAATGTTCGCCACTTAGCATAATAACGTCCACGGAATTTGACGAAATAATGACTGGATTATATTATTAAACATGTTTAAAATGTTTACATGAAAATGAATTAAAAGAATTTACCTGGAAGATAACCCCATCCTCGTAAATTTTGACAACTGGATATATTTCCAGATCTTTCGTAAAAGCTGTACTAGAAGTTCTTTCTGAGAGGTGTCTTCTCCCTGAAGATACATATGCTGTAGAGGAAAGGAAAGAAATGTTTCAATACAATGAATTTTTTTTTCTGAAGTTTGTTTCAGAATTTGATGTTATCTCCAGCTATTTGTTATAATACCTACCTGAAGTAGCTCTTTTTGCTTTTCAAGGGTTCTTGTAATACACGTGTATTCTGCTCCTCCTGGGTATTCCTGTCAAAGAAGGGGTTTTTTTGTTATTATAACCAGGCTCATTGTCTGGCTTTACTAGGCCATCGAACAAGCATACATTTCGTAGTATGGAAATGGCTCTTTCAGTTACATTTTTGTGAGGTTTGGGCTTGAAAATCCCTGAGTAACAAGACGCTTATTAGCTCGAAGGAATAGGCTTATAGATATAGTTTTGATGAAGCAAAGGCCTCCCTCCAAATTGAACCCAGCGTGCTGCACTTAATATAAAAGTATTACAAACCGGCTGTACAGTAAACTGTCTCATGCCCATGAATGCCTGGAAATGAATGTGCGATTACTTTTGATGGATGCTCTCGCCCGTTTTCAAAATGAATTTTACCTCGGAGATAGCTCCCCATACCATACTGGATTTAAATAAGGATACTAATTATCTTTTGGAACAACTGATTCGTAATTCTTTGAGCAATGGTTAAGAGTAAGACTGGTTATTTGTCAAATTCATTATACCTGCTTGTGCGTGTTATCTTTCCTAATACTTCATTTCTTTTTCGAAGTGATGGACATCTGTAACTTTATCTTCTGCCTAAATAACAGTGTGTCTTCTGCGCGTAACATATCAAAACAAACACAACATTTACATACCCAATTCAGAGTTTTCCATAATTGCTTACTTTCCTCCGTTGGTTGTCTGACAAAGAGAGTACCAGAAATATTGATTACACACCCCTTGGAGGTACTTGGAAAAGTTTCTACCAACGTTAGGCTACTTCAGGCATATTGTAGAACACCACACTGATAAAACATTAAACTATAATACCTATGATTTTGAAATAATTTTAACTTTAGTGCCGGTATTTCAACAACAACACACACAGCTATACGCTGTCACGACACAAAGGTATCATTTGCGAGCGATTTCCTTTATAATGCAATAATAGGTGTGTCATTAGTTCCGTTAATATTTTCTATGTTATTGAGTTAAAATGTCATCATTTGTTTTTAACGATGTTGTTTCCGGTGTGAGTAAACACGTGTAAAAGCTGAAGATATGTTATGCGTAAATATATAAATTTCTTGACCTTACCTTGTTGTGAGAGATTCCATTCGTTGTTCGGAGGTCAGATTCAGGTGGCTTACTATTGCACTGATTAGCTTGCATAGTGAATAGCGCAGAACCCTGGTGTTTCCGTGATTTGGCTGGTTGCAAAATTGGACAAAAATTACAATTAGCAACGTGCAGTATTAAGGAATTATACTGATATCATAATTTTTTAAACATGTCTATGTCTTTTGGACTTTTAAAAAACAACTGAATGAAACAATATTTAGAGGGGAACTACGTAATACTCATGTCAGTAATGGTGTGAATTTAATAGCACTCGATCGCTCACAATTTTCGCTGTCGGTAAACGAAAATTAAAGGTGGACGAATAGTTCGTGCTATTTTTTACTGTCTCGTCACACTCACCTCTTGGTTCTCTGGTTGCCAGGTTCGCTGTGAGGTGGCCATATCTTCTCAACTCAATACAATTCGGAAAAATATTGTTTACGTGTAGACAAGGCTGTTAAAGCAAGTGGTTCGATGAGTTTGTTCTCGAGTTAAGTTGATCGCTTGGTAATACTTTTCTTGTACCTGCACTCCGTATTCTAGACCACTTTCAACTAAAGAACTTAAAAAAGCCTCTTCGTCTTGTTTTTCCGAAATCTCTGAAACTGTCGTTCAAGGATGGTCCCTTGGACAGCGCTAGTTCTTTCATGCCAGTTTTGCACCACTGTTGATATGACGTCAATAGACCATTTTAACAAACATCACGTGTAGGGTGAGAACGGGTTTAGGGGAGGGGTATGGTTTGCCTCTGTTCGTCGATCTATCGTGGCAAACTGCTGGGTCATGTTTCAATAGAAAGCGTTCGTTACTCATTTCTTCAATAACGTTTCTGTTCGTACCCAAACGTTTTCGTTTTTTATTCTTGTTGTGAGTTGAAGGTAACATCTTGAAAAATCTGATGGTGCGCTGAATCCACTGATAATATGTAGAAAACTCTGTCCTGGTTAGTCTTCTCTTCTTTGTTCCTTCGGTTGTAATGATCTGTTTTTTTCCCCTGCGGTAGTTCTCTAAGCTAAGACCTTACAGCGGAATGCGTGTAATCACTGGTTCTTTCTACATCCTTGATTTTTCCTCGGAGAAACCGTGAAGCCATCTATTTCTTTGTCAGACAGTCATGTGTGAGTCCGCCAGCAGTTTATATTTGAGGACTCTGAAGAGAAATGTGATATGCTTAATATTGTTGAATTCTGCAATCACTATGTGACGCAGGATGTTTTGAAGGATTGTATTACGACCTCAGCTGTCAGTTGTGATCAGAGAAAGAAATTCCGATGGAGCTGCTCACTTTTGTCTGTTCACTTCTTTTGGTATGCCTGTCAAATTTCTGTCAAACGCGCAGCCTATAAGGTGTTTAATTATATTCAAACTCAGTGTACTGACGAGATTCAGCCAATTATATTTTCGACGTGAGTGGTGGGGTGCACGGAACCATGTTACCTTTTAGGTATACATTGAGATGATGCAACAACACGAGCTTTATCCGTTGAGATGATGCAACACGATGATGTTTGATCTGTTAGTATCTCTTAGGATAACAGCTTCTGATGAAGATAAGGCAAACGTAACAGCTTTGCGTCGCTGTGGAAATGCATTCTTTTGACTTTATTAAGCTTGAAACTCTTGGTTGGTTTTGTAATTGGCGTTTTCAGTATTATCATAATTTAATTAATCTTTTGCGTGACTCTGGCGTCTTCAATCCTTAGGTAGTGAAGCTTTCAAAAGCATGACCTTTGAAATGCTATTTGTGAATTTATCTTCACAGCAGATAATTGGCATTTGTTTTGCCTGTATGGTCAGTTCATTTGAAACCCTTGGTTGATTTTGTGATTGGCGTTTTCAGTTTTGTAATAATTTAATTAATCTCTCGCGTGATTCTGGCGTATTCAATCTTTGAAATGCCATTTGGTTGATGCTATTTGATTGGCATTTGTTTTTTCTTTATGGTCAGTTCATGGTCACAGATTGCCCACGGGCCGCATTCTCGCTTGGGGCTTGGCTCGAGTTCTTGATTTACTCTGGGCCTGATTTATTTTAGATGGGCGATGAAGCAGAAAGGCTGGGTCTTTCCCTTGGAAAAAAGGCTTTTTGAAAGTCTAAAGGGCAGATCAACCCAAAAATTCTGTATTATAAAATTAGAGAGTAAAGATTTTGAAACCCAGTGGTGAAAGTTTTAAAGTTTTAACCCACAAAATACAAAAGCTTGTGAAGATTTTAAATCTCTCAGGATGAATCTTTCTGACACGGGATGTACTGAATAACCTTAAAAAGGTGGTGTCCCTTTCTTGACGCAACTTGGAAGACGACTTATTCAGCGCGGATACACGAAAACTTAATTTCTTACAATTTCACCTGGGTAGTGAACTACAAATGATGCAACTTGATCGGCTAAGTGTACAGTGGACCGAATAGGATAATTAAAAACTCATACAGACTTGAACTCGAAAGGGTTTTTGAGTTTCGAAACTGAAGTTATCCGCTATTTTTAGTAAAATCTTATTTTTCCGCATAAATTGTGGAGGGAAAAGGACAGATCTTAAAACGATGGTTCGCTATATAGTCGGCGTTATGTGGTTGCTCTTGTATCTTTTGAACCATGTCCGAATAAAACCAGGCGCGACGTAAAAAATTGTAAGTATTTACAGAGTCCGTATTTTTCATTAAATCCGAAAATATTTCTGTAGCGGACAGCGAGTGGAAGTACCATGCCTTGGATTCTTTTCGGCCGTAAATTGGTAACAAATTGAATTATTTGGGTCGATGAAATTCCTTGAGCCTTAGTCAGAAATTGAGTATCTTTTCAGGGGCAGTATATGGGCAGTCACGTTTTCTCATAACCCCGTAGGAGTGTTTAACTTTGACAAGTAGGATTTTATTTGCCGTCGTTACTCAGTGGTGATTTACATAAGTTGTACGGTACGATAATGTTTCGCCAAGCCGTGCTGTTGCTCTTTTCTGTGGTTATTGTAGAATATTGAGGTGCTGCTTTATCGGCTTTATTCAATTTGATGTTTTAACTTTGGAATTCCATAGTGAAACGAAGGCCTTAATAGATTTACTGTATAATGAAGAGGGGGTCTTCATGAATTCTCTCGTTTGCATTAGTTTCATTTTCCGGATAGATTGTGAAGAAAAATGTACTTTCTAGCCGATTTAAGCTCATGCGAAGCAAGCGATCTTTAGAAAATGGAATTTTGCCGTTTCTTTCTTTTTATGTTTCAGTCTTAAAATGGGGGAGCATTTACGGGTTACCTTAAAATAGAATCTACTCGAAATCTGAAGTATTCGAAAATGCTTGTTCTAAGAAAGTATGGCCTCGCAGTTGTCATCAATAAGGAAACATGTTGGGATCATTGCATGTAATTTTTTTTTCTTGGCACATATGAAATTTCATTTCTGGAAACCTGACTCACATTTCCTTTTTGTTAGTAAATTGGTCTATCTAGTCATTATGCAAGTTACTACATGCAATTGTTATAACTTAATGTTGTAATTGTCATCGTCCGCAAACATTTTTTTTCTTGCTTTTGTGTGTAGCGTAACATGAGAGGTAACCATGTCATGACTTGGATGACATTTTCGGTACCTCATTTTCCCGTCTGTATTTCGCCCTTGTGTCACAAGTTTTAGTCGCATCTTTTTCTATGCTTTCCATCACTGCAAAGAAAAGCAAACCGGATTATACCGGAACAACCCAAAAAAGCTATACTAAACAAGGAAAAAAATAAACCAAAAAATATTTTTGCACCTTTCCTACTTCCTAGCTTTGTTGCAGTCAAGATATGCCCACTTCCCCATTGCCGGGTGAGCCTAGCTACTTTTTTAAACTCAATATCGTTTTGATATGACTAATCCTCTTACTTTTTTGAACAAACAAAAAATTCTAAGCCCTTTCGTTCGCATGTGTACTATTCAAACTGGGTTTGTTTTAATCCGATGTCCCCTTTTGCACGACATGTACTGTGCTGATCTTACGCTTCAGTGGGAAACTCGTTTGACAGGTTCGCACGAGGGAGCTTATTATCCAAGGTCATCAAAGAGTATTTACTGTTTGATCCGAAGATGTAATTTTCTCAGTTCTTGTCGTGACACTTCAAAAGATGACAAACGTTTCAAAATAGTCCGCGTTGGCGCTTCGCCGACGCGTATGGTAATTGGAAAAGGAAAAAAAAAATTTAATCGACGAGAGAGCGCAAAAGAGCCGCTCAGTTTGCGAAGCGACTAAGATACGAAGTACGATACCTAAGTCCCGATTTGATGTAATGATGGAACAGTGGAATGGCGGAATATTCTTGAACACGTAATTGCGGAGTATCCTAAAGCGTGGAATGACAGAATATCATAAACTGCAGAATGCCGTATTGTATGAAACAAAAGTCTCACAAAAACTGAAAGGCAATGAAATAAGAAAAATATTTATAATTGACAGGCAAAATTAGAAGAGGCACAGTTAAGTCATTATGGGCCCCTACAGGCTAGCGGAACCGTGGGGCTTCTGAGTTAGCCCCTATAAATTGTTATTAAAATTTCTAATGTTATCATCATAATAAGATTATTTCTTACCATTTGATTATTGATTGAATGTCAATTAGTCACTATATTCTCGAATCATCTTTCTCTTGTGGAGCGGGGTACTCATAAATATATGGGATGCGGCAGGTTGTCCGTTTTGTGTTTGGATACAAATCTTCAGTAACCCTATCTTCTGGTGGTAACCTATATTTGTGTTCAATTCTGTTAATATCGTGCTATATCAGTGGCCACATGCAGTCTCAGACCGCCGTTTTTTTCTTCCGTTACCAGAAACCGCTGACTCTCTTAGATTGTTGATATGCTCTGTCATTTGGGTCTCTGTGAATCGAGTAAGGCATTGTAAGTTTTCTTGAGCGGCGGTTTTGAATTGACCATGTTTAACTCAGCGGACATCCGTATTAATTCAGCCCCTTTCTGAAAAACCACCTGCTTCCCATTCTATTACTGTTCTTGTGGTGTACGTTTAGAGCAGAATAACGTGGTTTTGCAAGCTCAGCTTAATCCCATGTGATATTTGGAGCAGTGAAATTTCAAGTTAAAAACAAAAGTGTGAACGAAAGGACTCATTTGTCAGGCAAGAAGCTTACACTTATTGTTTATATGGGTGTCATTTTCCTCTAATAGACCAAACTATTTTCACCTTAACATGCGATGCTTATATGGGTGTTGAAAGCCATTATTTGCGACGATGGCCTTCAACCCGAACTTTTAGCTATTTTGGTCAACTGTTATGTGAAGGCATGTACTGTTTACTGAATTTATGTCTTTGCTTGAGAACATAACTTGGCAATTGTCGTCGACCAGCAAAATATTGATAGACCTTTTAATTTCAACTTTCACTCCTTGGTTGATAAGACATTTAACTTCAGAAATCCTGGCTTATAAAACGTTTAATTTTTCTTGAATTTCCCTTTCGTTTGTGAAGTACGCTATCCTTACTCAGTGTTTTTTTTTCACTGCATGCAGGCGACTAAGAGTCAACAAAATTATCATTTGAAAATTTTCTTGTTCTTGCTCTATCGTCGCTGTAGAGGGGACACGTCAATAATTTCAGTGTAGGGCAGTGTCGAAACTGAAACATTCGCCACGTTTTTTCCCGTCTTATTTTACTCTCGTGCAATTTTGAATAGTGCTCTCCTCCTTTGCTTTTGCTTTTAATTTGTGGAAAGAAAGACCTCGTGGATGTTCCATCAAGTTAGTTCTATTATCGTGCGATCGAGAAAGGTTTAACCAATGCTGACAAGAAACAAGGAAACCCTTTGATATCGAACCTCGTGCATATGGTTTATTTATGCTTACAATGAATGGATGATGACTTAAAAATCACAGGAAAGAATACCAAGGCTCGTGGAAAACTCCGCATTTTTTCATTTACCACAGCATTCTGTTTATGGAGGGCTTATAGTCGTTCAAGCGTAACAATTTTCTCAATTAAACGGTTGCTTCACGAGAATTTTGCTTTGTGTAATCAAATTTCACCCATAGGTCGTTCTTTTGTTTATGTGTATTTCGCGGAACGATTTTGACAAGTTAACACGAGGCAGCAGCTGAGAGCAATTGACTCGTAAACGATTTTTTACTGTGCAGAGTCAATATCTACATTTCCTTCACATCGTATGTTAACCCGCGCA